AGGGAGTGCAGTGGAGGATGGCCCAGGTGCTTGGGCCCTGCACCCCATGGGAGACCAGGAAAAGCACCTGGCTCCTGGCTCCTGCCATCGGATCAGCACGGTGCGCCGGCCACAGCGCGCCGGCCGCGGCGGCCATTGGAGGGTGAACCAACGGCAAAGGAAGACCTTTTTCTCTGCCTCTCTCTCTAACTGTCCACTCTGCCTGTCAAAAAATTAAAAAATAAAATAAAACTCAACAACATATTGACACATAATACAACATGGATGAAATTTGAAAATTTCATGCTATGCAAAAAAGGCAATTCACAAAGGATCATATAGTATTTAATTCTATTTATATGAAATGTCCAGAATTAACTAAAGCATAGACACAAAAGAAATTAGGGAGTTGCCTAGGGTTGAAAGTGAAACTTTCTTGGAGAAAAAAAGTGTTTGCTAATTTGGGATTTCTTTGTGACATGATGAAAATGTTCTAAAATAGCATCGTATTGTACAACTCTGTGAACAGACTAACAAATCATCAAGTTGTACATTGTCTTTTCTTTTTTGTTTAAGACTAATTTATTTGAAAGGCAGAGCTACCAAGAGAGGGAGAGACAGAGAAATAGATATTTTCCATCTGCTGGTTCACTCCTCAGATGGCCACAGTGGCTGAGGCTGAGCCAAGCAGAAGCCAGGAGCCAGGAGCTTCATCCTATTCAACCACATGGGTGGCAGGGGCCCAAGCACTTGGGCCATTTTCTACTGATTTTTCCCAGGCACATTAGCAGGGAGCTGGATCGGAAGTAGAGCAGCTGGGTCTGGAACCGGCACCCAGAGGGGATTGTGGCATTACGGGTGACAGCTTAGCCCCTTACACCACAACACCAGCCCCCAAGCTGTGCACTTTTGATGGGCAAAATGTATGACATGTGAATTTTACTTCAGTAGCATTATTATTTTAAAAACCCCTCAGCAATTCCTCTCTCAGTGTGTGATCCAATGGGAGGACTCAAATACTTGATGTTGGGGAAGAAGGGGGATGCAATCCGTGGGGGTGAGCATGAAAAGGTGTATGCAGGGAGTGTTGGTTTGGGAAAGACAGGGCATACATGGAAATCAAGTTGAGTTCTGGTAATAGAATAGGCTGAAGAATTTCAGAAGGAAGGGTTCTGGTGAAAACGGAAACCACTTCAGTGAAACCAGATTTCAGCAAAAAAGGCTGAGGTTAGTTTGAAAGGGTGAAGTTTTACTTTGAAGCTGATGGCTCAAATGATCCCCTCACATGACCTGGGAATCTTTTAAGAGAAAACAACCGTTGTCCAAGAGAATGTTGAAATTTTTTTTTTTATTTGACAGGTAAAGTTATAGACAGTGAGAGAGACAGAGAGAAAGGTCTTCCTTCCATTGGTTCACTCCCCATATGGGCACCACCGATCTGAAGCCAGGAGTCAGATGCTTCTTCCTAGTCTCCCTTGCAGGTGCAGGGCCCAAGCACTTGGGCCAACCTCCACTGTCCTCCTGGGCCACAGCAGAGAGCTGGGCTAGAAGAGGAGCAACTGGGACTAGAACCTGGCGCCCATATGTGATGCTGGAGCCGCAGGCGGAGGATTAGCCAAGTGAGCCACGGTGCCAGCTCCATGAATGGGGAAATTCTGATACACTTTGCCAAACAATGCAGCATTCCTGAAGTAGAGAGCATGAAAGGAGGGCTGCTCTCCTTGCACCACTTGGGGCCCTATAGAGAGAGCTGACAGGACAAGTGCTGGACGCGTGGAGTCTGGAGCCAGCTGCCTGGGTTCATATTCTGGCTCTTTGCATTGCATCTGCATTGCCTTGTGCAAGTTCTCTTCTGTAAAACGAGGCTAAATAAGGTACAGTGCCTCCCTCAGAGGACTGTTGTGAGGATCAAATCAGACAACAAAAGACGAACTTAGCACAGTGCTCCGTCTGGAGCCATGAAAAGAGTCGCTGGAGACGTGGCTGATGCCTGCCAGCCTGGAGTGAGCTCTCAGAGTCAGGAAAGAGACAGCAGCTGACTAGGGGTCGGGTGGTGGCTGGGAAATGGTCTGAAGATTGGTAGCGCCTCTTGCTCAACCCTGCCAGTGGGGCTCAGACTTCCTGTTGTCAGCGCCTCTGAGCCCTAATGCTGGGGCAGTTCAAGTTGGAACAAGAACTTTCTTGGCCCCTGGCGGAGGAGTGCAGAGGCTGAGCAGCAGCACAGCGTGGGCTGGGCCCCTTAGCTTCAGATCAAGCCTTTTCTCTCCTCACAGGTCTCCGCTCCCACAAAACACACAATGCAATTCTGGTGTGGTAGACACGCTGGGCTTCCCACTTGATTCTACATGAATTTACTTAACTCTGCTATAATAGTCCTTGATTATCTGCTATTATTTGGTATTAGGATTATACTCAGAGACTTATGAACTCATGGATTCTTTTTTTTTTTTTAATTGGAAAGGCAGAGTTAGAGAGAGAGAGAGAGAGGAAGGTACAGAAAAAGAGAAGAGACAGAGAGAGAGAGAATCTCCTGTCCACTGGTTTACTCCCCAAATGGCACAATGGCCAGGGTTTGCCCAGACTGAAGCCAGGAGCCAGGAGCTTCTTCCGGGTTTCCCATATGGGTGCAAGAGCCCAAGGACTTGGGCCATCTTCTGCTGCTTTCCCGGGTGCATTAGCAGAGAGCTGGGTTAGAAGTGGAGCAGCTGGGACTCAACCGGAACCTACAGGGGATGCTGACACTGCAGGTAGCTTTACTGGCTACACCACAATTCTGGCTCTTCATGAATTCTTGTAACAACCCTGTGAGCTGGATTTTATCTCTTTTTTACAGATGAGGAAACTGAGGCACAGAAAAGCTACTATCTATCCCAACTGACACAGCTGATGTTACAGATGAGATTCCAGTCTAGGCCACCCAAGTCCCAAACCCATGCCATGAATTGCTGCAGTACATGGTTTAAAACAATGCCCAGGATTATGAGGATCAAAATCTGAACACTCCGGAGTTTTTCCCTCCAGGGATCCGCAGTCTAGGGAGGCTCTGAACACAGCGCCCGTGAGTCCTCGTACCCCAAACTCCACTCAGAAAACTGGCTGTTCATGCAGAGAGCTCGCCCTTTGTGTATTCTAACCAGTTGTCCTAAAATGTTCTCGATCAGTGGGGCATATCAGAATCACCTGGGGAGCTTTAGCAAAATCATGAGCTCTGGCACTGGCCTGACCTGAATCACAATCTCTACAGGTGGGGCAAAGGTGTGTATATATTTTTAAAATGTTCTCAGGTGACTCGTTAAGAAACACTGCCAAAACCCATTAACACAACTGGGAAATTCCAATACTTTGGCAGCCAACTCTATCTCCCAGTCTACTTTCTGTATCTGTTCTCCAAAATCAAACCAGATGTTTGATTCAAAATAGGAGGGCACTTCAGAAAGTTCAAAAAGTAAAAATGCATATTTTTTTCATAAGACACATTTTGTGTCAGCTTTAAAAGATCTCTCGTGTTTCGTTAGCCATCCTTAGGACATTATCCAGCTTTATATTCCAATCTTTGGGACAGCAATTACCAGTCATGAGATCCCTTAACACTCTGAGATAACTCAGCACCAGCCCCACATGCACATGATGGGAAATTATGTTTTCTGTTCCCTAAATGTAACAGATTCAAGCTGGGGATTTGCATCAGCACTTTTTACTTATACAAATGTTCTTGACTGAAGTCAGTTTAAGGGGGCAAAGAGAAGAAAAATAGTAGACTTAATTCTTTTTTTTTCCTCAGAAACCTTTTATTAAAGGTATACAAACTTCATGTATTTCATAAATACAACTGTAGGAACACAGTGATAGTGATTCTTCCCACTATTCCCACACTCCCACCTCCACTCCTAAACTTCTTCCTCCTCCCTCTCTTATTCCCATTCTTATTTTTTACTAAGATCTATTTTCAATTAACTTTATACACAGAAGATTAATTCTAAGTAAAGATTTCAACAAATAGTATGAAAAAAACTGGTCCTCAATAGTTTTTTTTAATGTTATAAGGCAATTTGATGTTAATTACTAATATTTTCTTTTTTTAGATTTATTTATTTATTTATTTATTTGACAGGTAGAGTTACAGACAGTGAGAGAGAGACAGAGAGGTCCTACTTCCATTGGTTCACGACCCAAATGGCCACAATGGCCGGAGCTGTGCCGACCCAAAGCCAGGAGTCAGGTGCTTCTTCCTGGTCTCCCATGTGGGTGCAGGGCCCAAGCTCTTGGGCCATCCTCCACTGCCTTCCCAGGCCACAGCAGAGAGCTGGATTGGAAGAGGGGCAACCAGGACTAGAACTGGTGCCCATATGGGATGCCAGCGCCACAGGTGGAGGATTAACCTAGTGTGCCACGGTGCCCGCCCCAATTACTAATATTTTCAAAACAGTAAAATTATGAAAAATCTTATTACAATCACATGTATCAAACTTCAATGAACAAGAAACAAAAGTGAAACTTGCTGGAGAATATTCAAATGTTTTTCAGTGGGTTCACTTCACACTGCTGCTGCACTTGGTCCAATTGTTCAGTGCCTTAAAACAGACACTTCAGCAACTAGAAATATTAGTTCTGTTTTATTTTTTTCCCCTAGAAGGAGAAAGCAGTCTTTGAAATACAAAGTAAAAGTAGTCTAGAAGATTTGCAATAGTCCATCCAGGTCAGCACAGTGGCTAGTTGCCATTCCTCTTTTTATCTAATAAAGTACTTCGTTTGGCTACTCTTTTTTTTTTTTTTAAGGTTTATTTTATTTATTTGAAAGACAGAGTTTCAGAGAGAGATAGAGACAGAGAGAGAGAGGTCTTCCATCCACTGGTTCACTCTGCAGATGGCCACAATGGCTGGAGTTACACTGATCCAAAGCCAGAAGCCAGGAGCTTCTTCTGGGTCTCCCACGTGGGTGCAGGGGCCCAAGACTTGGACCATCTTCTACTGCTTTCCCAGGCCATAGCAGAGAGCTGGATCAGAAGAGGAGCAGCCAGGACTCAAAGTGGTGCCCATATGGGATGCCAGTGCTTCAGGCCAGAGCTTTAACCCACTATACCACAGCGCCAGCCCCTCTTTTTGCTACTCTTGAAGAATTTATTTTCTTGGTATCACTTGGGCTCAGAATCAATGTTCCATTTGTGAATTTTCCAACTTGTCCAGTCCGTCCACTTGACAAAATACTGGGAGCCAACTTCTTTTTGAATTTCTTTCTTCTTGCCCTTTCCTCTTTTTTTTTTTTTTTTTTAATATCTGTGTCCTGGGGCATTTTCTTTTCTTCTTCTTTTGCTGCCTCTTTTTCTTTTCTCTCTTTTTTTTTTTTTTTTTTGGACAGGCAGAGTGGACAGTGAGAGAGAGAGACACAGAGAGAAAGGTCTTCCTTTTGCCGTTGGTTCACCCTCCAATGGCTGCCGCGGCCGGCGCACAGCGCTGATCTGAAGCCAGAAGCCAGGTGCTTTTCCTGGTCTCCCATGCGGGTGCAGGGCCCAAGCACCTGGGCCATCCTCCACTGCACTCCCTGGCCACAGCAGAGAGCTGGCCTGGAAGAGGGGCAACTGGGACAGAATCCAGCGCCCCGACTGGGACTAGAACCCGGTGTGCCGGCGCCGCAAGGCAGAGGATTAGCCTATTGAGCCACGGCGCCGGCCTGCCTGTTTTTCTTTGATTTGTTCCTGCAAAAGCTTGTAATTCACATAACTCTTTTTGGAAGGTTTAGCACCCAGCATAATGGCCCGTTCCTGACCCAGGACTCTTTCTGTTCCTTTTCCATAACCCATGATCCCAAACCGGTGTACTTCCAAATGAGCCTTTTCTAGATTAAATTCTTGCACATCCACAGCTTTCTCAAGGACACCAGTTTTGGCCTTTGTGTTCTCCTCTTGTTCTTGTTTCAGCTTTCTTTTTTTAAGTCTGCTGTGAAATCCTATCACTTCTACTCGATCCCTTGTTTTCTTCATGGGAGTTAGGGTTAGGGTCAGGGTCAGGGTCAGGGTCAGGGTCAGGGTCCTGAGGGTGTATTTGGAAAGGTGACAGCAGGAGCACAGTGCAGCTCTTCTCTGAGTTCCTTGAAAAAGCTAGAGGCATTCTTCTGGCTTCTTAGGAGCGAGCCGGGTAGGGGAGCTTCCTCCACTACCAAGGATGCTACAGTACTCCCATATTTTTTCTTGTGTTCCCTTTTCTTTCTGATCTTCTATTCTGTTTCTTCTGTTTCTCCAGAGTCGTACAGGTTCTGCAGCAGAGCATCCAGAAGTGTCGGGGAACTCGGAGGCGCAGCAAAGCCCGTTCCTGCTTCTGTGCCCTCGTGGGGTCTGAAGGAAACTCATGGCCACAGCGACATCCTGGGATTCCGCCGCGCGGCCCCAGGCTTTTTTGATTTCTCTTATTACCCACTGTTCATTTAGGAGCATAATGTTCAGTCTCCATGTGTTTACATATGTTCTAGGTACTCTCAAGTTGTTGATCTCCAGCTTCATTCCATTGTGGTCAGAGAAGACGCACGGTATGATTTTGATTCCTTCGAATGTGCTGAGACTTGCTTTATGGCCTGCCCTGTGGTCTATCCTAGAGAAAGTTCCATGAGTGCGCTGGTGAGAAGAATGTGTATTCTGCAACTGTAGGATGAAAAGTTCTGTAGGTATCCACTAGGTCCATTCGTTTTTTTTTTTTTTTTTTTTTTTTTTTTTTGGACAGGCAGAATTACACAGTGAAAGAGAGAGAGAGACAGAGAGAAAGGTCTTCCTTCCATTGGTTCACTCCCCAAATGGCCGCTACGGCCGGCAAGCTGCACTGATCCGAAGCCAGGATCCAGGTGCTTCCTCCTGGTCTCCCATGGGGTGCAGGGACCAAGCACTTGGGCCATCCTCCACTGCACTCCCGGGCCACAGCAGAGAGCTGGACTGGAACAGGAGCAACCAGGACAGAATCTGGCACCCCGACCAGGACTAGAACCTGGGGTGCCGGTGCCGCAGGTGGAGGATTAGCCTAGTGAGCCGCGGCGCCTGCCTATATTTTCAATTAACTGTTATTTCCTTGCAGCTTCCTGTCTGGTTGATCTGTCCATTGCTGAAAGTGGGGTACTGAAGTCCCCCATTACTATTGTGTGGGAATCTATGCCTCTCTTAGATCATTTATTTTAAATAGCTAGGTGCCCTGTAATTAGGTGCATATACATTTACTATAGTCGTATTTTCCTGTTGAATTGTTCCCTTAATCATTGCACAGTGGCCTTCTTTGTCTCTTTTAACAGTTTGTGTGTTGAAGTCTATTTTGTCTGATATTAGAATGACTATACCAGCTCTTTTTTAGTTTCTGTTAGCATGGAATATCTTTTTCCATCTTTTCACTTTCAGTCTACATGCATCTTTGTCGGTAAGATGTGTTTCTTTTAGGCAGCAAATAGGTAATAGATGGGTTTGGTTTTGTTTTGTTTTTCCATTCAACCATTCTGTATCTTTTAACTGGAGAGTTGAGGTCATTTACATTCAAGATGACTATTGATAAGTAATGACTGGGCCCTGCCATTTTTCCATGAATATTCCTATTGCTCACTTTGGATTTCATTTGTACCTTTAATGGGAGATTTTCTGCCTTAACTTTCTTTCATAGTGATGACCATGTTTCTGTGTTTCTGTATGTAGCACATCCTTAAGCATCTTTTGTAAGGCTGGATGAGTGGTGACAAATTCTTTGAATTTCTCTTTGTTATGAAAGGTCTTTATTTCAGCTTAATTCATAAATGAGGGCTTTGCAGGGCACAGTATTGTGGGTTGACAGTTTTTTTCTCTTAAGACTTGGACTATATCTCGCCATTCTCTCCTAGCCTGTAGGGTTTCTGATGAGAAGTCAGCTGTGAGTCTAACTGTAGATCCTCTGATCTCCAATTGGTCATGTCTATTAGGAGTTGTATGTGCTTCTTGTGCTTGGACATCCCTTTCTCCAAATTAAGGAAATTTTCTGTAATTATTTCACTAGGAAGTCCTTTTAATCCACTTTCTCTTTCCATGCCTTCAGGAACTCCTAAGACCTCTATGTTGGGTCATTTGATGGTATCCCATAGATCTCCAACACTGTTTTTCAGTTTTCTAATTTCTTTTTTTTTTTTTTTTTTGGTCTGACTGTAGAATTTCCAGAGATCTTCTAACTTGGATATTCTTTCTTCTGCCTCACTGAGTCTGTTGTTAAAGCTTTCCACCACATTTGTATGTGTTCTATTAAAGTCCTCATTTCCAATATTCTGTTTTAATTTCTCATTAAAATCTCAATTTCATGAGAAAAATTTTCTTTGATGTCATGTACATATTTCCTTAGTTCATGGATTTGCTTCTGATTACTTTGAGTGTTAAAGTGTTGTTGTGTTCCTTTGGAGGCGTCATGTTGTCTTCCTTGTTCTTGTTTCTTGAATTGCTGCATTTATTTTTAGGCATTTGTAGTTTATTTTGTTTTTTCCCTGTGATGGCTTTTATCTTTGGACTATGCCTTTGTGGATTAGTGGAGTATCTGCTTTTTTAGTGAATACCCTAAGGAGTGTGCTGGATGTGGCCAGGGAGCTCTGTTCAGTGCTCCAGGGTGAGGGGAGTGTCCAAGGTGATTCCCAAATTGAGCTTGGTAACCTCCTCTTTTTTTTTTTTTTTTTTTTTTTTTTTATCAGAGGGGATGTTTGTTCAGCTCTGTTGGCACAGTCTCCCACTCACCTCCTCTCCTACAAGGAGATCAATGCCTGGATGCTAGCCCTGGTGGGTACAATATTTGTCCACACTGCCGTAAGAACCACACAAAGGATCTGTTCAGTCCTCGGTGTGAGCACAGGTCCCACAGCAATGACCCTCACTAGGGAATCAGGGAGCCCCAAGCATGTGGAGCCACCCACAGTGACTTCCCAAAGACCCAGCCACACACTGCAGCCTCACACACAGCCACAGTGCATTCACAGTGCCAGCACACAAGCCTCTCCCAACCATGAGCACCCAAACCCCTGTCGGTGCTCTTAGCCAGACTCAGGTATCTCCTCTCTGCTGGTTGCTGGAGGCGTGGACACAAGATGGCACAGCTGTTACGTATGTCCAAAATGGTACCCTCCTGCTCTCAGCTAGTTATAGGACCCCAGGTGTTGGGTGGCCAGGGAGAGAGAAACATGCTGCCCTTTTTTTCCTTGAGGTTGGCAGGTATACTGTCCCCACCAGGGCTCCAAGGCAGACTCATGTGAGGCTCTTCCTGCAGCTTTGTTGCTGCTTTATCGCTTGGGCTGCTGCAGTCTGGTCTCACCTCACTCTCCAAAGCTGCTAGAGTCCTGAACTGTATGTGCCCTCCACTCCACATAGATCCATGGTATCCCTGTAATTTGCATGGAGTTTCCTCTTCTGTTTGCTCCCTAACTCTTCCCCTGAGATTACAGTCTCTCCATTTTTTTGTTTTGTTTTGTTTTGTTTTGTTTTGTTAACTATCTTCCCCTAGACTAGAGCAGTAAACTCCTTCCTTATTTTGCCATCTTGGTGCCTCTCTAAAGTTAATTCTTAAGAGGACTGTTGTGCACAATTGTGTAAGTTGTACACTGCCCAAAGTCATCAGGCTAAGGAGGCAATTGGAAACTAGAATTCAGCCTGCCATGGGACCGTGGCTTGGGGCACCTTTTTGTACCTTCTATGCTATAAAAGCCCTTACCTTCAACTCTCCTAATTTCTACTTCTTGTAGCCCCATTAAGCGCAGAGAGGTAGTCCCATAAGGAACTCTGAGGAACATGTCATCCCTTCCTCCCCTCCCCTACAAGCACCAAGGAGAAGCCAAAATCTTCAAAAAATCAGATTTTATTGATTGTTTTTGTTCAGAATTACAAAAATAGATATAAATTAAAATAGTAGAATATAATTATTAAATATTTAGTGTACAGGAGTGGTCCTCACCCCACCCAGTGAGGATTGGATGAACTAGGTTTGAGGGTAACTGGCCAAGAAAGAGAAACTATGTGAAATGAAATCATGACATTTAGTGCTGGTCACAGGTTGTGCCTCAGAATGATACATTCACAGGCATCATGTGGGAGACCCAAGAGACCTGAGTTGACCCACAGCCTCTCTAGACAGACCCTCTTTGTGGTGTCACAGTCCACAAAATTTAGGGAAATATCTAGACTTTTTGTCACAGGAACACACCAGCTCTTGCTCACACTTAACACTCATAGCCCAAGCATCAGGGCACAAATATATACACATACATAGTATTTGTAGATACATTCATGGAGTATCAGAGCCCTTCCCTTAAGTTATTAGTGTCACTGCTTCCCAGACTGCTATTCCCCCAACAGCCAAGTTCCTTCAAGAGACTTCAACGGTTACACTTCCTAAGTGGGAAATTACTCATTTCCCAAGAGTGGGCCTCATGAATGACCATTGTTGAGGGAGCTAGCAATCGCACCCATGCACAGGAGAAGCCATTGTTCAACTCCAGGAAGCTTTAGTCCAGAAAAAGACAAACTACCATCCTGAATCAGGACCACCCTTCCAACCTGGCCAGGGGGGTCTGGGTGGCCAGCACCCAGGCACACATGTCTGAGGTTGAAGCTATTGTCACTTGCCCTGCTGGGCAGCACAAGCAAAACCATCTTTGCAGAGCCTATCCCCGTATTCTCTTCCTTGTGGCTGATGGAGATGATCCTACTGCAAAAAGGACGGTCAGTATGGAAGTGGGTGGTGCCCATTTCCTCCTTGGCTCCCTGGAAGTTTTCAGAGGGCCAGGCCATTCTCTTCCCCAATGTGACTACGGATCCAGGGCAGGAAGCGTGAGACTCTTGTATAGACACCTGGCTTATTCTTCAAGGCACATCCACGGCCCCAGCTCACAATCCCAGTCAGAGTCATACGGCCTTGAACGGAGCAGACTAGGGGCCCTCCTGAGTCTCCCTGGAAAGCCAAAGACACAAAACATGAGCCCTAAGAGAAGTGTGGGGAGGCTGTCTTCAGATCCCATCATCTGACCATGCTTGAGAAGTGAGGGAGAAGTTCATAGAGCCAAAGTCTTTAGTGACTCTCATTGCTACCACAAGTTTAAAATCCTCTGCTCAGTTTTCTTTTTTCTTTTCTTTTCTTTATTATTATTATTTTTTTTTTTTTTGGACAGGCAGAGTGGACAGTGAGAGAGAGAGAGAGACAGAGAGAAAGGTCTTCCTTTTCTGTTGGTTCACCCCCCCAATGGCCACTGCGGCCAGCGCACCACGCTGATCTGAAGCCAGGAGCCAGGTGCTTTTCCTGGTCTCCCATGCAGGTACAGGGCCCAAGGACCTGGGCCATCCTCCACTGTACTCCCAGGCCACAGCAGAGAGCTGGACTGGAAGAGAGGCAACCAGGACAGAATGCGGCGCCCCAACCAGGACTAGAACCTGGTGTGCTGGCGCTACAGGCAGAGGATTAGCCTAGTGAGCCGCGGCACCGGCCCTCTGCTCAGTTTTCAAAGCTCTGTCACCTACAACCATTCCATCCACACTCCCAGACCCTACTTTTTCCCCACCCTGGCGTATGCTGTGCTCATTCTGTTTTTCAACCAAACCAACTTCCTTCCTTCCCTCTGCCTCCTCAAATCCCTATCAGGTCATATTCTCTTCAAAGCCTCCCCTCCTTGACCATCTGGTTGTCATTTACCTCTCTCTCCTAAACATCTTATCTTTTATAATCCACACTGTGTTCTGAGCTCTGAATTATATTGTCTTCTATTTCCTCTTTCTAAGATCTTGGAAGACACTTGCACAGTAATCTGAAGTACCTAGCACAGATCCAGGCTCATGACAAATGTTTAGGAAACTCATAAAGATTGGTTTAGATCGCCAAAGACGTGAGTTCCTGATCCTCTTGGGGTATTGGCTTGACAGAGACTCCCTACAGCTTGCAGGGACAGACCCAGGAGCTCTGGGGCTGACATAGATGCTTGGAATACTCACCTGGCAGGAATCTGTTTCCCACTGTGGGTCAGCGGCACAAAGCATTTTGGTGGTGACTTCAGAGCCATAGTAATGGGGTTGCTGACACTCCTGGTAGGAAACCAGCTTCACCACAGTCATTTTCAGCTGCTCTGGATACAAGTAGTCGGCTGGATGGAGGAAACGGGGCAGTTTGTATTGTGTCCCAGTCAGGAAAAGCTCTTAGTCTTCTCCCACCCAAACTGAGCCTTTACTCTTCCTATAGCTCCCATCTGGTTGCATTTGTGGCCCGTCATTCCATATAACACTTCCCATGCCATCCTTGGACCCAACTTCTGCCTCCATAGTTCTCCATCTGTGTTTCCACAGTCTTCACGTAATCACTCAGAGCTCACTTCTAGGTCACAACGCTCCCCCAAGACCCTCTCGGTCAACCCCAGATGTCACTTACTGGAATTCTCTTTTCCAAAGCCGGTGATCTCACAGCTTGTGCCAAAATTGGGATCAGCATTCCATGGGGGCAGGCAAATAGTCTGTATGGACCGGGATGGCTGAGCACATTGGCCATTGTTGGAAAGTATCTTCAGCAAGGCTGGAGGAGGGGGAGGTAGGCAGAGGGAAAAGATCACTACCCATTCAGGTGGTCACCATCTTCCCCCTCCAAACACTGAAGAAATGACTTTGTCTACCCCTAAGTCAGCTAGGGTTCAGAGAGAGGTGTGCTGGTAGCTTGTCACTTGGAAGCCTCCTATACCCTAAGGACTATGTCCGGCTACTGACAAATGTGTGGGTAGCCAGGAATACTGCACACAGCTGTACAGGTTGTTTCCTGAAAAGAAAAAAAAAAAAAAAGAAAAGAAAAGAAAAAAAAAAACCCTGGCTGAGGGAAATGGGCTAAAATCCAACCCAACCCAAGATTCTACTGTCCAAATTCTGCATCTATATAAGGCTTCATCTAACAGCAGTAGGAATATCTTCTTCTAATTTGCATGAACAGGACATTCCCAGCACAAGCCATATTCACCCATAGCCATTTCCACTCAGAAGAGGCACCAGTTGAGAGAAATTCAGGGTCTCTATGGAAGAGCACCAGGGCCTTCATATATTTCTCTCTGACTTCCCACCATTCCTCATGTTGTACGAAGCAGGGATTTCAAGTTGCTCTACAACCTTAGCCCCCACTTGGTTCTCTCCTTAGCTCCTCTTTCCACAGCCATCATCATCATGGCAGGTGAGGGCTTTCCACTCACCAATATCGTTGTGATGAGCCAGTGTGTCAGCTCTATAGCCCTCATGCAAGATGAGTTGCTCCACTTCAAACTTCATCTCCCCAGGTGTCATGGAGTTAAGCCTTGACCGACCCAGGTAGACAATGTAGTCCTCTTTCTTTTGGTGATTACTGTGGGAGGTAAGACCCGTCAGACAATCTGACTTCATGAAACCCTGTCAGCTCCTCCTCCCCATCATAGTGGCCTCCAAGCATGACTTGTCCTCAAGGCCAGGAGACAGATGTTTCAGTGAGACAGAATTGAGGTGGAGTACTTTGCTGGGAAGAAGAAAGGGATGTGTTTGGGGTGCAGGAGGAGGAAGATTGAGAGACTAGAGAGGGACGTACATGAAGCAATGTGTGGCGCTGACCACCCAGCAAGGACTGATGAGGCTGCCGCCACACACATAAGTGACAGAGCCTCCCCGGTGCCTCCTGTAGATGGCTGCAAACCAGGGCTGGTTCTCAATGATGGTGAATTCTCCCCCAATAATCTTAAAACGGGGCCTCAGAGCCTTCTGGCCACACTGAAACTCCAATTTTCCTGGAGGAAGGGCAGGTTTTTTTCCTAAAGGAGAAAGAGAGAAATGTCTTGGGGAGGCAGGTAAGATAAAATAGCCCACTCAGGCAGGCCTCCCTCATCACTCATTCTGTGATGGAAGAAGAGGACACGTGAGTTTGTCCCCTTCCACTCCACTGTGATGAACAGGCCAGGGAAACTCACCTGAAGAGCAGTCATGCACCTTGCACTCTTGGATGAGCTGCTTTAGGCCAACCTGCACATAGCACCAGGGTCTTCTCTGGTGGTCTGGGTTCCTGGCAACATGGAGTGGTAGGGGATGTCATTCCAACCCACACTGTCCTCCCTGCATCCTCCCTTCCCCTCCAGGGATGACTCAACCAGAAACCTCTCTTGTCTCATGTTCTGGCCAGCACTCTGGTAGGAGAAGGGGTTGGTAATGAGGGCTTTTGTGAAGCCATAGGGTGGCTCCAGGTCCTTACCATCCTCTTCCTCACCTGCAGTAATTGTGTTTCCCCAAGCCCAGCTGAAGGGCATCAGGTCTGTGGGCATGGTATGTTTTCGTAAGAACATTGGCAGAGTTCCAGGCAAGGCAGGGTCGATCCATGATGTCAGTGTTGGCCTTTCCACGATAAGAGTGACCATCCCCATGATAGCAGGTTTTCAATGTATCTACAGAATGATCCGAGGACAAGAAATGTTAGTAAAGGAGGAAATGCATAACCGGCATTGTAGAGATAATAAGCTTTCAGATAGGGCAGAAGACACTGCAAAGCTTCTCCTTCCACCCCACCTCACATTTGTGCAGCCACTGCTTCATGAGATTCTTTGTGCATGTGTTTATGTTTGGCTGTATATACCACATTGCAAGGAAGATGTCACCCATCCCACCTGCAGCTCCTAACTCCTGCCTTTGCTTGCATCCCACCCATCTCTCGTTGTCCCGCAATCTCTTGTGCCTCCTCTTCCAGGTTAGAGTCAGGATCCCCATACCTATCTCACAG